GGGAGGCCTGAGGCTCCCGGATCCCGAGTCTACAACACAGCTGTCTCCTGGAGACCCAGAGTCCACAGTGACGTGTGGGGAGATCGGCTCACAGGGACAGGCAGCCAGCTGGACGGAGCCCAGTCCTAGTGAAGAAAGCAGGGACGTGTCTTGTGTACTGGAGGAGCCTGAAAGGGACCCTGGGGCAGCAGTTAGAAGATTTGACATCTAGGGAGAGGTGGCTCTGAGGAGTCACTTAGAGCTGGGTGCCTGCCGTAAGAGAGCCTCCTATAACACACTAGGAGGAACAGGAGCAGCCATGATGCCCCACAGAGGCCTCTGCAGCCTCGCCGCGCCTCTTGAGGGGGACAGAGGAGCCAGCTGGGGCACAAACGGAGGCTGTGAGACGCGCTGCTCATGCCCCTCTCCTACGTCACCCCGGGCTCTTCCCACAGGCCATCTTGTCTCACTCACTTCTGACACGAAACTCAGCCCGCCACATGCATGTCACATCCTCACAGTTTTTCAGTGGGAGTAAAATACACGAGTACAATATTTACTGTCTTAACCATTTTAAAATGCTTTTTTTAATTGAAAAAGTAATAGGTGCCCCCAGCAAAATTCAAAGCGGTGCTTTTTGTGTGCAGTTAAAAAAAAAAAACACAGCTGGGGACTCCTTCAGTATCTCACCCACCGTGGATGGTTCCTACCTGGTGCACGCCTGTTATCCCAGCACTTTAATTTGGAAGTCTGAGGCAGGAGGATTGCTGGAAGTTCAAGGTTAACTTTGAGACTGTGGGGTTTTTTTTCTCCTTAAAATACACCCAATATTTACTGTTGTGACCATTTTTTTTGTTTGTTTTTAAGACAGTGTCTCATGTAGAAGTTGTGGACTTTGAACTTCTGAGACTCCTGCCTCCACCTCTTCAATGCTGGGATTATTTTGTTCGTTCGTTCGTTTGTTTGTTTGAGGTAGGTTTCTCTGTGTAACAGCACTGGCTGTCCTGGAACTCACTCTGTAGCCCAGGCTGACTGGAACTCACAGAGATCCCCCTGCCTCTGCCTCCCGAGTGCTGGGGATTAAAGGTGTGCGCCACCACTCCTGGCTGTTTTAAGTGTATAGTTCAGGGGCATTAAACTCACTATCATTATGTACTTTCCAGAAGACTGTCATCTTCCCAAACTAAAACCTTATCCCTACTGTGTAATTCCCCAGCCCCCTCTCCCAGGCACCCACTCTATCTCCTGCAGCTACAAATCTGACTACCCCAGGGACCTCATATGTTCTTTTGACTGGCTTATTTCATTCTGCCTCAGAGTTCATCATTTGTAGCATGTGCCACAATTTCCTTTTTAAGGCTTAGCAACACTCCATTGCATACATCTGCATGTTCATGCATCCATTCACAGCTATATTCTGATGCACAAAGATTTTACATTTTCTTTCTGACAGGGTTTCTTTGTGTAGCCCAGGCTGTCCTGGAACTCACTCCATAGACCAGGCTGACTGCCTCTGCCTCACAAGTGCTGGGATTAAAGGCCGCCACTGGCCCCACAGATCTTACATTTTCATGGCCCAATGTGACTGCTTTCCCTTTGGCAGTCACCGACAAGCTGAATGTCTTGAGTTTCTGTCCTCCTTTTCCCCCTAGAAGTTTTGAACCTCGGTCCTTATGTGCAAGCCTCTGATCCACTTGTTCATTTTGTGTTTGGTGCCTGGCAAGCCTCCAACTTCATTCTTTTGCTGTAGACACCCAAGTCCCCTGAGATGCCTCACAGTCAGAAGAGGAGGCCAAAGCCCAGTGTCCACCCCACAGCAAAACACCACAGCCTGCTTCTGCTCGACTGGTTCCTTCCAGCTGTGTGCGTCACTCTGTTTGCTTGTCTGTTTGATTTTCGAGACAGGGTTTCTCTGTGGCTTTGGAGGCTGTCCTGGAACTCACTCGGTAGACCAGGCTGGTCTTGAACTCACAGAGATCCGCCTGCCTCTGCCTCCCGAGTGCTGGGATTAAAGGCGTGTGCCACCAACGCCCTGCCATCTGTGTCCACACTCTTAATTCCCCAGAAGCCTGCTGCAAGTCTCCGTATCGTATGGTCTATGCATGCATGCCCAAGATGTGCTCAGGATGGCTGAGGCTACGGCTGGTAGTAAGGGACCTTTTGTCTTGAAATCTGATCCGAGGGGCTGAAGCAGGCAAAGCGCCTGCTACACTAGCGGGGTGTGGGGGGACCTGAATTCAGATGCCAGCACCCACACGAAACCAGCATGCACGTCTGTAACCTCAGCTCTTGGGGAGCGAGGCAGCAGACAGTGGCAGAGAAGGACCCCCAGCCACCGTGAGGGACACGCGTGTTCATACATGCAGTGCACATGTGACGGTGGCGGCAGGGGTGGTGGTGTGGCACACAGGACAAGTGTTGTAGAGCCGGCTCTCGCCTCAGGGACTGAACTCAGGTTATCAGGCTTACATCATCAAACAGTGAACACCTTTATCTGTTCCGAGTCCAGTGTGGTGCTCACAACCTGATCTCAGCACTTGAGAGTCTGCGGTGGTCAGGAGTTCTAGGTGAGGTCGGGCTACACGGTAAGACCCTCAGAAACACTGAGAAAAGGTGCGTGTGTGTGTGTGTGTGTGTGTGTGTGGTGTGTGAGTGTGTGTGGTGTGGTGTGTGGTGTGTGTGCATGTGTGTAGTGTGTGTGTGCATGTGTGTGAGTGTGTGTGGTGTGTGTATGTGCATGTGCATGTGTGTGTGCATGTGTGTGTGGTGTGTGTGAGTGTGTGTGGTGTGTGTGTGTGTGCATGTGCACATGTGTGCATGTGTGTAGTATGTGTGTGCATGTGTGTGAGTGTGTGTGATGTGTGTGTATGTGCATGTGCATGTGTGTGCATGTGTGTGTGGTGTGTGTGAGTGTGTGTGGTGTGTGTTAGTGCGTTAGTTAGTTAAGTTTCCAGACCTACAGGCTACCCACCCATCACCCCACTAGAAAAACACAGCGCTGGCAGAACCCAGCACCCACCTAGACATGTCCAGGTGATGGACACTGTCCAAGGACGTCTTCCATCCTTCAGCCAGCAGCAGGCAGACCATGTGTGTCTGACAGCTCCCTGTAGGACCTGCCCTACTGTGCGCCTGCTTTGTGTGGGCCTAAAGTGGGGAAGAGAATTTTATAGGTGTGGCCTTCAGTATGTACTGGGAGCCCTCCTGTTCTGACCAGATGTCTCTGCCTGTCTTTAACGCCATTGAGTAGTTAGCATTCCCTGCGTCCACACACACCCCACTCAGGGGCAGACCCGGGGCTGTGTGGCTGGTTCTGATCGCAGCCCCGAAGACATCAGTCTGAAATAGTCTGGAGACACCTGAACCCCGGGCAAGGAGCATTGTGTTGGAACCCCAGCATCCTGAAATGACCTCGTAGAAGTCTGTTTTGCTGGAAGCTAGCAGACGTAAGGACATTTACTGGTGTGTGATCTTGTGTCTTATGCTGTCTGCACCGTCTGGGCACACACTCAGTTGGATCTCTGGAACACAGAGGCGGCTTCCCTGGTCTTGGGACACAGGTGGCATGGTGAATTCTCGTGTCCCCCCGTAGCAAATCCCTCTCCATCCAGGCTCCTGACTGCTCCCATGGAGACCATGACCACCCATCTATCAGTATCACTCTGGCCGCGGCCAGACACGCCCCTTGCTCCTCCCCACGGGTGACCCTGTGCTGTGACACAGGGACTTCAGAAACTCCAGCCACCTCAGTTTATACTACCAGGAAAAGGCAACGGTCCCCACCAGAATCGAAAGAAGGCTCTGTGGGGTTGTGGGGTCTTCCTATTCTCCTGCTAAGCAGGCCCGGTGGCCAGGGTGAGTACACATAGCTCCCAGCCAGTGACACCAGGTCCTCTAACCTTTGAGAGCTCTGTGACCAATCCTTATTGTCTGCACACACCCTCGGGAGGAGCAGTCTGCAAGGAGGCCTCTGAAATGGGAGGAAGGCAATTGTGGAGTGTTTGGCTGGGGTGGGCTTCTAGAGGGGCTCCTGGTTGGTGGTCACTCTGCCCTCCAGGATGCTGGGTGGCCAGGCTAAAGCTGGGAAGTGCAGTGCTTTAAGAGAGGTGTGTGTGCGTGCCTGCGTGCGTGTGTGCGTGCGTGTGTGTGTGCGCGCTCGTGTGTGTGCACGCGCGTGCGCGCGCGCTAGTCTTCAAGAATGGCTCCTGTCAATCATGTGCCTCATATTGTGAATCCAGCCCACACCGCTCCCCAATCTGGAGTGGCCTGGGACTCTGGCCGACATTGTGATGCAGTAAGTAGGTCTGAAGCCCTGTCTGGCTGGGTTGATGTGTGCACTGTGGTAAGGAACAACATGGCCTCAGTGAAGAGAAACAGCCAGAGACCTTTCTCTCCAACAGACGGGGGCAGTCCAGGCCAGGCCAGCCCCTACCTGGGCTGGGGCCCTTTCTCTGGCTTCCTTCACCAGCCTTTTCTCTTCTGACTTTCTCTGAGAGAAGTTTCCCTCCTCTCCCCGTCTGTACACTCCAGTGATTGCCCTGGCTCCCCAGACTTGGGGAGTGGGCGTGGTTGTTGCTAACCAGGGGCAGTCAGGCACCCGCCTGGCTCACTCTCCCAGCGGTCCCCTCCTCTACCCTACCAGCTCTCATCCCCTTTCCACGGGCTTGGAGACCAGCCTGACAGCGCCTCCCTCGCGCGATTGGACTCTGCAGGTGCTACCTGGGCTCTGCGGCCCGCCCCCCGGCCCGCCCCCCGCACGAACTGGGCATGCCCAGAAGTTGCGTAGACGTGCCCGACAGCTCCGGTCTGCGGAAGACTCTCCCCTGCGCCGCCCATGGAGCGCATCGAGGGGGTGACCGTGGGCCTCTGTTCCCGCTCGCCCTACCTGCGGCCTCTCACGCTACACTATCACCAGGTGATCCGCCCCACGCTCGCCTCTCCGGGCTCACCCTCCAGCCCCCCTCTCCCCCCCCACCGCGTTCGGCTCCGCCCCCGTGGGGAGGGGTCTTGATCTGAGCACAAGCTCCGCCCCCTGCTGTCCTGCCCGCGGTTCAGACTGGGTCAACCGGGAATGGCCCAGGAAGGACATTCGAGGATAATCTCTCTTCCCTCCGCGGCAGATTGACTGGCCCTCCATTTCTGACCGCCCACCGATAGTTTTATGCGGTTGGACCTATATTGATTACCCCGGACATCGGGGCCGGAAGGACTTGGGGGAAAGCAGCCCACCCTGAGACGGGGGACACTTCTAGCTCCTCCTTCAAGCTGCTGCCTCTAGGAAGCCTCCCCAGCTCAGCCTTTCCCAGCTCCCAGGTGGCTCCCAGAGCCAACAGGGCCGTTGGTAGCTGCCTCACTTGGCACCGCGGGGCCCCAGAGAACGTTTGTTGAGCTCAGCTGCTGCCACCGCTCTCGTCTCTCACCCTGTGGTCTTCCGGCAGGGTGGTCCCTGTCCTCTGCCCCGCATGGCCCTGTCGCTAGGGCCATCGCTTGTCACACATGGCCCACTCTCATTCTCTGTGCTGCCGGATACACACTGCTTTCCCGACCCGGTCGGTGTAGACCGGGTTTCAGCCCAGGTCAAGCCACCCAGCACCCTCCCATCAGGGTTATGACCTCCAGCCTGAAGACCCCCTCATGTTTGCTCTGCACAGGTCCCCCACCCACACCCCAGGACGCAGAACCCCTCTCCCAGGGTGCAGCCAAGGGCAGTACCGGCTTGGGGAGGGGCAGTTGGGTCCAGTTGAGGGACACGGGAGTCACTTTCCTTTTCCCTTTTACTGGCTGGTTGACATGGGTTGGGCATTGTGGCTGTTCCTCCCCAGGACCTGGGTCTCTGGTGGGCAGTTGGGTGGGAGCAGGGTGGTCCAGGCTAGTTCTGCTAATGGCCCGTGACAACAGTCTTCCCTCACTTCCTGGGAAGCGCTGTGGGGTGGTTTTGCAGCCTTGGCTGGCAGCCCACCAGCACATTTCCGCTGATGGCGTTGGTAACCAGAGCTCAGCTGATCAGGCAACAGCCGTACTCTCGTGGATGTGGGGCTGGGCAGCATTTCCTCAGGAGCTGAGGGGATACCGAGGCTGGGCTATGAACTGGGTAGGGAATGCCAGGCTTTAACCCACTGCCACTCCTGGCCAAACGAGGTCTGGTAGACAGTCAGCCCAAAAGCAGGGGCCCAGTGGCCCTATATTGTATACACATGTCCACCGCTACTTTCCAGACCTGTCTCTCCCTTCCCAGAGCCAACGTCAGCTTCTCTGGCTCTTCCCACGGCTCTAACAAAATGTTTGAAATTGAGTCCAGAGGGTCCTCTGGAGTCACACAGGGTGGTAACTTACTCAGAGGGAAGCCGAGGGGGTAGGCAAGGCAGACTCACTGCAGCCTGGGCGGGTAGCCTTCTTTGGAGCCTGCCTGGGTGGCTGGATGTCAGGCAGGCCCGGGCTCGCCTCGTGGGGTGGCGCTTCAACGGCCCCCTGGGCAGCCTGACCTGCCCAGGACATTGACTCTCTTCTCCCCCTGGAAACCAGGTTGCCGCCACCCTCTCAGGATATCTCTGCCTGCAGGCTCAGGTCAGTCTTTCTGACTTGAGACCGTCGCCCGTGAGGCTCTCCTTTCCCATCGGTGGCAGTGCCCTTCACCTGTGGGCGGGAAACCGTTGTGGCGGCTCCTCAGTACCCCCCTCTTCGTTGCCCTGGCGCACACTGTCTGTGGGACCCAGGCCCCTGTCTGCTTTGCAGCTTGGATGGAGCCCGGCATCTGTGGTGGGGCTCGCCAGGGCTCACTGGATGACCTAAAAGTGGACTACGCAGGAAGGGTTAGGGGTGGGTGGGTAGGCTATAGGTCTCCTGCCCCCAGACACAGCCTGTCTTACCAAGTGGCATCTTGGTGACGGAATGGTCGGTGGGTCCTTCCTAACCCTGTATACCGAGCAACGTTGACATCCGTTCCGGCTGCCCTAGGCTGCACGGCCCACCTTATCTATTCCCGAGTGATGCGTGGGTCTAGGGAGCGCCGCGTGTCCCACACGCAGGGTCGGCAGGACTATGGGATGTGTGAGAGGGAGCTGGAGCCTGAGGCAGGGCGGGGCAAGCATTCACGTCCATCTGATCTCGTCAGACCCACAGCTGCGGTGTAAACCGCCCAGTGGCCCGCAGGAGCTTTGGCAGTGGACACCTGACTTCCTCTCTGCCCACCTGGGACCCTCCCTGCCCCCACCTAAGGGTGTCACATCTGCCCCTCCGTATCCTCCTAGTTCCTTCCCAACTTGGTGGCGGCAGCTAGGTCTCTGTAGAACTTTGTGCTCATGAAATGCCTTTCCTGCCCTTTGCCCAGATTTTCCTCTTTACCCTGCCCAGAACACCAGGGTACCCTGACCTCTGGGGAAACCTCGCCCACCGCTGCCTGCTGGGAGCCGCTACAGTGTGACCCGTGTAGCTCATGTGTCCTGGCAGCCACTGGCCCTTCCTGATCGCTGTCCTGTCTGTTTCAGGATGGCGTCCAGAAGTCCTGGGACTTCATGAAGACACATGACAGGTGAGAGGGCCTGGCCTGGACACTAGGGAGCCCCCATTCCTGCTCTCCTTGGTGTCTTCAGACACCTTCCACCTCAGCCCAGTCTCTGGTTCTTACGTCCCTGAGGCCTGGTGGCTAAGTCATGTAGTAGCTAGCTGGGGACTCCAGGCCCCTGGTGGCAGGCTGGCCCTCCTAGGCCCGAAGACGTCTGTTGGTCTTACTCCTGAGGATCCAGAGCATGGGAAGTGTGTGGTCTGAGGGGCGTGACAGTTGGGAGACTGGCCAGCAGGGGCCTCCACTTTCCCAGTGCCCAATGTGTTATCTCCCCGTTCCCCTCTCCTGTGAACTGGCCTGACTGTGTGGCCTTCCTATCCGAGCAATGAGCTGACTGTGTGCCACATCTGAGCAGGGTCCCACCTTTCCCAGGCTGTCAAGGAAGGAGAGGAAGGGGGAAGTGGGGCTCTGGGGAGAGGGGGAGCATGTCCTTACCGAGCTCCATTCTCCCACGCAGTGTGACCATTCTCATGTTCAACTCTTCTCGGAGAAGCCTGGTGTTAGTGAAGCAGTTCCGGCCAGGTGAGGCCAGCTGGGTGGGCGGGACTTGGGGAGGGGGAATAGCGGTGTTCTCTCAAGCCCCTTGGCCCTGAGCGTGGCTGGGGGCGGGGGGGGGAGACTGAGGTCCAGAAAGATGTGCCTGGCCCAGAGTAGGTTACTCCGAGGTGACCGCCACGTGGCCATGCTTCCCCGTGCCAGCCGTGTATGCAGGCGAGGTGGAGCGCCTCTTCCCAGGGTCACTGGCAGCTGTGGAGCGGGACCAGCCCCAAGAACTTAAGCCAGCGCTGCCCGGCTCGGTGGGAGTGATGGTGGAACTCTGTGCCGGCATCGTGGACCAGCCTGGGCTCTCACTGGAAGAAGTGGCCTGCAAGGAGGCTTGGGAAGAGTGTGGCTATCGCCTGGACCCCGCTGACCTACGCCAGGTTGCCACATACATGTAAGGAGGCTTGGCAGGGCGGGCTGCTACCAGGCGTGGTGGTCTAAGGGATAAGACGGCCTGTCAGGGAGTGGGTGTCGAACCCTGTGAGGACTGGGAGAGGGTTGACGGGCCATGCCTGGGCTCCTACACTGGGCCGGACCTGGTGCTTTGGGAAGCTGGTTCTAGAGCATGCTCAACCCCGCGCCCCTGCCCTGCAGTCCCAGCCGTGTGGGGTTGGGCTCTCTGGGTGGCAGCTGCTGCCGACAGATGCCCCACTTCCTGTGGGATTAAGCACGGGGCGCTGGGGGTGGGGTGAGTCACAGCTCTGTTCTCAGCCGGCGGTGGCTGCAGAGTGAGAGGGAAGGACAAGTCCCGGGGAGGGGAAGGAGGACTACTCCTACTGAAGTCCAGGTGCCAGCCACGCAGGCCTCCCTCAGGCAGCCGACCAGGGACGGCTCCCTTCCTCAAATGGGAAGCCGCCCCATGCCTCAGGGTGCCGTGTGACCCTTGACCGCTGAGGTCTTATGGCAGAAAGAGGGTCTTAGGGCACCTGTCACCCCACAAGCCCTCCTTCAACCATGAAGAACCAAAGCCCCTGCCACCTCTCCCCTGGCACCCTCCACACAGCCAGGACCCTCCTGCCTCCATCTCACAGGATGCCACCCTGTAGCTCTTAGCTGTGGTTGGAGCGTGGTGGATCCAGGGTTTGCCTCTGAAGGGCTGGTCTGTGCCCTTTTCTGTGTCCTCCATGGGGACAGCCAGGGATGGCCTGGATCCGTCAGCTTCCAACATGGCAGCATTTAGAGGACTCTAAGGAGCCTGACCTTCGTAGGAGTTTGGCTGGTGTGTGGAGCAGACAGGGATGGAAGGCAGGAAGGAAGTTAGCCCTGAGGGTGGGGGGCCCAGATCGATGTCTGAGGACAGGAGAACCTTGTCTTGAGAGGTGTCACACGCAAGGCCTCTGGGCTGCGTCCTGACTGGAGGTACAGGAGAGCCGGTGAGAGTTCTGGACAGTGGTCACCCTACCCCGACTCATACTCTGACTGAGGAGGGTGTGGCTGTGAGGAGGCGGGACCGAGGGTACGGCCAAGCGAAGGTCAGAGTACCTGCCCCTATGGGCCTTACCGCGACTGAACAGACCAGAGCCTTACCCACTTAGTGGTTCCCTGTCCAAGACCAGTCCACTCCCTTGATGGGCATACAAGGGGTTTCCCTGCTGTTGCCTTGTCTGTGAACGAGATTAGAGCCTGCAGCAGAGGCTGGAGGCAGCCGTCGCCCTCGTAAGCTAGGGAACCCGAGGCTGGAGCTGCGCAGACTGGGTGGTTGCAGTCACAGGTGCAGGGCGTGACTACGAGGTCATGGGCCATGAGGTAGGGGGTCTGTGGGGACAAAGAGGTAGCTGGGCAGGTCACTCTTGGATGGGGAGGCTCCTCCTTTGGTGGGTTGGGAGGCCTGGAGTGTTCCCAGTTCTGCTGCTGCCTCCATGAAGTGTCCTGCTGAGAGATCCCCCCACCTCTACCTGTCTGGAACAGGGTTGGAATCCGTCCTTTATATAAAGAGCCCTGCGATTCCCACCACCTCACCCAGTCTCTGGTTTCTCCATGGCTCCCCAGCCAATCAGGAGCCCCCGATGTGGGCCAGGCTGGCGTGGGCCTTAGCAGAAGTCATTGTTGGGTCCCCTGCAGGAGCCCTCCCTGGGCAGGGACCTAAGGAACAGATTCTGAGGGCCCTGTCCCAGTACTGCGTATGACCTCATGGCTTCTGCATATCCAGTCTGTGTCCAGGGTCCTCCATCTTCCACTCAGGGTCTCAAAAGCTACACGCAGGGCCGCTAGCCACATCGTAGTCCATCCAGGTGCAAAGGTTGCAGACCAGCTCCTCGTGGCTATTAGTTAGAGGCCACTTCCTGGCTAGCTGTGGACGAGGACCCGCTCTTAGACCCCAGTGATGCCTACAGGTCCCTGTCCATGTGTCTCCTTACGACGCAGCACCTTGCTCTGGTCCCTGTTAGCAGAGAGTATCGGACTTCCTCAAACTTTGAGCTGTCTTGTGAGTTCATCTGATTAGGCCAGGCCTACACAGATATTTCCCCTGGGATGGATTCAGTCAGGTAGCCGAGCAGGGTCCTGGGTCCGTGATATACACAAAAAGTGCCAAATGTCAGTTGTCATATTCATCTTGGCAGTTTGATGGCAGGCCTAGCCTTTGGTGGCCGTCTCTCTAGCCCGATTATCAAATTCACCTTGAAAAAAATCACCTCAGTGATCCGGGCGGTGGCGGCACACGCCTTTAATCCCAGCACTCAGGAGGCAGAGGCAGGCGGATCCCTGTGAGTTCCAGGCCAGCCTGGTCTACAGGAGCTAGTTCCAGGACAGCCAGGACTGTTTTACAGAGAAACCATGTTTCGAAAAAAGGGGAAAAAAATCACTTCAGTGCTCTTTATGTCCCTTACCTAATTGGCGTGAGACGCCCCCCACCTCTGCCACGTGATAGCTCAGTGAGAGAGGGCGTGCCCAACATTGGTCAGGTTCCTCCACTCTAGGGGCACACATCCCATGAATGTGCCCACCGGGCATGAAGCCACTCAGAGCTCCGCCCACCAGAAAGCCATAGAAAGGAGCATGGAAGCAGGGTGGCTGTCAGGCTCACCTCAGCGTGCCAGCATTCCCTGTTCTACCTGACAGGTCTGGAGTAGGACTGACTGGCTCCAGGCAGACCATGTTCTACACAGAGGTGACGGATGCCCAGCGAGGCGGGCCTGGTGGAGGCCTGGCTGAAGAGGGAGAACTCATCGAGGTCGTACATCTGAGCTTGGACGACGCCCAGGCCTTTGCCGACAACCCGAATATCCCCAAGACTCTCGGTGTCATCTTTGCTATCTCCTGGTTCTTTAGCCAGGTGGCTCCCCACCTGAGTCTCCATCGAGACAGCCCGGTCCCGTCCACTCAGCTTCCTGACCCGCACACTCAATAAAGCTTGTGTAATTTTTATTGGTGGCCACTGGCTTTGAGCATTGTGACCCGGGGTGAGGAACAGTGTCCCGAGGGGGTAGCAAGGTCTCCATACAAACCCCTCCGTTCCTCCTCAGACTGTGCAAGTAGATGCTCTGGGAGGCAGGTGGCTTTCAGTGAGCTGGTGCAGCCGGTCTGGGATACTGGCAGGCGGAGGGAGCGGACAGCTCAGGGGGGGACCGGCTTAAATGTTCAGCCTTGGAACACTGCACAAGCTGTGTAGTCTGCAGGAGTGGAGGCTGAGCAGGCCTCAGTTGAGAGGAAATGGGTACAGTTCTGCCCATCCCAGAGAGTTGTGTACTCTGGGCAGATGCAGGGTCTCCGCCATGCCCGGGGTTGGGCTGGAACCACACTGCTACCACCCAGGAACTCAAGTGCCAGGGATGTTTCGTACCTGGTGTCTCCAGTGCCCTCTCCATGACTCATGTGCCATGGGGTGGGTGGGGGTGGGGGGTGGTCGTCTCACCTGACCTGCAGGACACAAGCAATGTCCGCAGGCTTGGCTATGATGAGCACCCAGGGCAGGCATCTTGGTGGGGGCAGCCTGGTCCTTGCACTGAACTGCCTCGGGAACGTGACAGCTCTCTGGCCTTGCTCTCTTGCCTGAGGGTGGGGATACATGAGAGGCACTCACATAGCCCAGAGCCGTCCTCCAGGTCCCCAGAGTGCCTACGGAGGACAAATGGGCCCGCTGTCCCACCCAGCCAGCTGCCTGGGTCGCAGGCACCGCACGCTTAGCACCCCCCCCACACACACACGCAGGAAAGGTGTCTGTGTAAGTTGTATGTTTTGGGGTAAGGTCGGGCTTCAGGATTGTGGCCCAGCTGTGCCTTCCCCTAGAGCTTCAAGTTCTCCAGGATGTCTTATATGACATCCTGGGGGCGGGGGGGGGGGGGAGTCAGCCAAGGTCATGGCCCACTGATGAGGGCCGTGAGGTATCCTGGAGGAGGGATGTCCCCTTCCCCCGTAACTCAGTACAGCGGAGCTCCGGTGATGGTGTCTTTGTGAGCGTGTCCTGGGCTCTGTCTCAGCGTCCCCTTGTATGAGGCCAGGAGCTGAAGTGTTGGAACCCTAATTGAAACAGGGATGGTGAGGAGGCTGTGGGACCCTCTGTCCTCTTACCCCCTGCCCTGCCCTAGAGGATGGGGGGCATTGGCTTCGAGCCCGCCCCTCCACCCCAGGGGGGTGTGACATTGAGGCACTACCCCGAGGAGGCTGTGACATGTGGACTTCTCAGATAGCACCACCTGTATGCAAATGTTTGTAGCAATTCAGGCGGGGCCCAGTCAGACGAGTAACCACAGCTTTTGTGTGTGTGTGTATGTGTGTGTGTGTGTGTGTGTGTGTGTGTGTGTGTGTAGGGTCCTTAGGTGTGTGTGTCCAGGAGCTGAATACTGGGTGTGGGGCATTGATCCAGCTTCATCCGGACGGTCCCAGGACAGGAGTCCATCCAGCCACTGCCATCCATGCCCTGCCCTGACATTCCGCAGCTGCCTGATGCCCACCATCGGAATCCTGTGACCCTCAGGGTTGCCCTTGGGTGTTTGCTGTCTGACGGGCAGAGTGGGGGGAGGGCGCTGGCCGCCTGGAGGATGGGTTAGGAGTCAGGGCACCTGGGCTTGGGTAAAGTCCAGTCCCTTGCTCCGATCTGCAGCCTGGCGGGCAGGTCAGCAGGCACCATTGCTGGGCCTAATGGGGCTGGCATCGATTTCCCGGCTTGGGGTGGGGGGGCTGTAACCGGAAACTCCCCTCCCTGGCGGCTATATTTAGCATCCCAGGACATGAGCGGAAGCATAGCTCACTCCTGAGCCCAGCCAGCTCTATCCAAATCCTGGGTTGCCTCATCCTTCGGCCTGGTCCCGAGGCCCCTCTGTGCCTGTCCAGCTCAGGCTAAGCACCCATTCAGAACATGCCTGGACCCCTGGAGAGAGCCACCAGGCAGGAGACCAGAGGGTACCTTGCCCAGCGGGTGATGAAGGCCTTCCTGAACAGGCAGAGCTGCTGACCCCATAGGGTCAGGTCAGGGTTCCTGAGCCCCCAGGCTTTACATTGGGAGCAGCATGAAGGCAAGCATAAGGTTTGAAGGGTGTGTGAGGCAATCCATCGGCTCCTGGCAATTCTGCCCAAAGGCTGGACAAATCTGTGCAAGGAGGGGCTTCCAGGGGAGGGGCCCTCTCGGTGCAGGGGACCACCTTTCACACCTTCAGCATCTCCTGGTCACTACCAGGCAAGGTTGTGTCCCCCAGAAGACAGGAGGAGGAGGAGGAGGTCATCACCACTGTATTGAATATACTGCCCTAATATTCACCCGAGGGGACCCAGGTCTCACTCCCAAAGGGCCCGGATAGACAGGAGGGACAGGTCCACATCTCCCCGATTTCCAAGGCTTAGTTGGACAGACCCCCTTGGATCCTGCGTACCTATCTGTGTCCTGGCCCGATGAAGAATCCTTCCCTGGGCCACTGCACCCACAGCTCTGAGCAGGGGGGTGGGGTGGGGGTAGGCTGAGCCAGGCAGTCACACAGAAGCCCGTGTCAGCCTACTGTGGCTCTGCCTGCTGGGCCGTCCTCCCACGGCTGCCCGGCAGCAGGAAATGGAGATACACAGGGATGCGCTGCAGGGTTACCCTGGGTTCTAGTTCATGCTGAACTCCCCCTCCGAGTAGACATCGTCCTAGACATCGTCCTGGACACCGGCGCCTCCCAACAGCACGGTGGCATCACCCTGACCGCCCATGCACTCCTCTCTGCCGCAGCCAGGGATTCTGGTGAAAATGTGAGCCGTGGGGTGACGTTCTGTGACTCCCATGGGTGTCAGCGGGAAGACTGCAGCATCACCACCCACCTTGGTTTGGGTATTTTGTCTTCACAAGCCCCGGTCAGGCTACTTCAGCCCCAGAACCTTGGCGTGTCATTCCTTCTCCTCACCTTGCTGCCCCACCCTCCGAATCTCACAGGGGGGGACACCCGGTTTTAGACTCTTACGGTTTGCTGGTCTACAATATATCAATATATATATATGTATATATATATATATATGTCTAAGCCATTATCTGCCTTTACCCCCGGGCCCTGCTGGCAGGCTCTCTAGTTCACAGCTTGGCCGGGTGCCTCAGAGAGACGGTGAGCACAAGCAAGTTGGAAGCTGAGGCTCTTCTGTCCTCTGTGGCCTCCGAGTCTCCAGGCTGGACGGAAGATGAGGCTGAGTCTGCAAAGGGAAATGCGTCCTGAAGGGTGCAAACACCAGGGAGACTTTAACGTGCTTCAAACCCATTATTTGGTGGGGGTCTCCGTGTGTAGCCAGGCCTGGATTGTTAGTCTACCTGCCCGTGGACTCCCTGGGCTCAGGTTGGGGTGGGAGCACTCTGAGTATGCAGAGCCTGGAGCACTATAAGCGTGAGGGATGCTGGGCCACCCTTTCAGGCCCGCTGCTTCTACAGGAGATCTTGGGGAGCCATTAGACTGGCAGGGCAGGTGAACTGGACCAGGGCTTGGCTCCCTGTGTAGGCTGCCAGCAATGTCCCGGGGGCTGGGGTATGGGGCCCATTTCTACTGTGCCTCTGATTCATCAGTGTCAAAACTTCTCCCTCCCCCCGTAAGTCCTCTGGTAGTGACTTGGTCCAGTCGGGGAAACTTGGGAGAGGAGCCTTGGAGAGAGCTCCCAGCTATTGTGGGGTCTTGAAGAGCAGGATAACACATCATCACCCCAAGTGTGGGGATCTGTAATCATCGAGGTTATCACTGGCACTGGGAAGAGGCCCTTCCGAGTGGAACAGAGGCGGTTTGTAGACGAAGAACCCTGGGTATTGGCGTGTGGAGGAGGTGATCACCCATGAACAGGCTCAAGAGATAGTGGTGGAGGGGTGGGATTCCCAGGCTGTGACCCAGACATCCAGACTGCTGGAAAATCCTCTTTGGGTAGCTCTCTTGGCATAGACCACTGCCCTTTATCCCCGTTTCCATTCCCCCATATTTGGACCTCTGGCCGGCGTTTTCCTCGAAGATAAGAGTCTGGCGATGTCCACCTCCACCTCGGCTCCGAGCTGGAAACAGCCTGCAGGAAGGAGCATTTGTTGACTGGCTGTTCAACCTGTGCGCTTGGAGGAGGGGAGGGCTGGGCGTCGGAGGGGAGCAGCGCCCCCTGTAGCCGGCGTGGAGGCCGCAGGAGGCTGAGGAGCCGGGGAGAATCCTCGGGGAAGGGGGCGCACCAGGAGTTGGGCTCACTCGGGTCCCAGAGCCCCACCCGCCCTGCGTGGGGGCTAAAATCCTGATGCGTACAGCAGGCAGCATCTCCTTTGGGACCAAGAGCAGCGCGAGAGTGGCTGCGCTCTGATGGGAGGGGACCATGACGGTGACCTCAGGGGGCGCCCCACTCCTAGTCTGCTAACCCGGGCGAGAATTCTGGAGCAGAAGAGGCCACACCTCAGCGAGCCTGGGCGCAGGAGAAGCCACAGCTCGGCGGCCCCGCGCCCCGCCGCCCCGCGCGCAGACCGCGCCCTCGCCTCCTTTAAAGCCCGGGGCGCCCCCAGAACCCCCCCACAGCCCCACCCCACTGCGATGCCCCGCCCCCTCATGAATATGCAGGTGCGCGGGTGACGAATGGGCGAGCGAGCTGTCAGTCTCGTCCCGAACTTGTTGGCTGCGGTGCCGGGAGCGCGGGCGCGCAGAGCCGAGGCCGGGACCCGCCGCCTTCGCCGCCGCCGCCGCCGCCGGGTGGGAGCCGGGCCGGCCGCCGGAGCGCGGCCGCAGCGAGCCGGAGCCGCCGCCTCCCCCTGCACGCCCGCCGCGCAGCCCGCGCGCACTGCTCGACCCCGCCCGCGCCGCCTGTGCGGCCGCCGCCGCCTGTGCGCCGCCGGGCTCGGAGGGCGGGCGGGCGGGCGGGCGCTGGAGGCCGGCGCGGCGGCCGTAGCGGGCGCGGGCGGCGGCGGCGGCGGCGGGGCCGCGGGCGGGGTCGAGGCGGCGATGCGGGCACGCGGCTGGGGGCGCCTGCCTGGGCGGCTGCTGCTGCTGCTGCTGCTTCTGTGCGTGCAGGTGAGCGGGGCGCGCGGCGGCGACGGGCGCGGACGGGGCGCACCGGGCCGCTCCCCCGGGCCGGGTGGCGTGCGAGCGGCCGCGGTCCGGAGCCCTTCGGCACAGCGCGAGGGTGGGGGCGGGGCGGAGGCTCGGCGACCCCGGCCCGCGCCTCCCTGCACTCTCCGCTGCCTTATTTTTAGGCGGCGCGGCCCATGGGCTATTTCGAGCTGCAGCTGAGCGCTCTGCGGAACGTGAACGGGGAGCTGCTGAGCGGCGCCTGCTGTGACGGCGACGGCCGGACGACGCGCGCGGGGGGCTGCGGCCGCGACGAGTGCGACACGTACGTGCGTGTGTGCCTTAAGGAGTACCAGGCCAAGGTGACGCCCACGGGGCCCTGCAGCTACGGCTACGGCGCCACGCCCGTGCTGGGTGGCAACTCCTTCTACCTGCCGCCGGCGGGCGCTGCGGGGGACCGAGCGCGCGCGCGGTCTCGGACCGGCGGCCACCAGGACCCGGGCCTCGTCGTCATTCCCTTTCAGTTCGCCTGGCCGGTACGTGCGCCCCTCCCCCGCACTCAGCTTCCCTGCGCGCCTCGGCGCCCGCCGCGGTCCCTTCAGCACCTGCGGCCGCGCGGGTGCGGGCGGCGCGCGCCCAGACGGGGCGGGGCCGGCAGGGGGCGCCGCGCAGCGGGCGGGCCCGGGGCGCGTGCTGTTACGGCCAGGTTCGCGCCTGGCCACGTGGGCGCGCGGGGTACCCGGGGGGGCCGATGGGCTTGGGGTCGCGGCGGGGCGGGATGACCAGGGTCTGCGCGCTCGGCGGCCTTCGGAGTGTGCCTACGTCGCCCCGCGCGTGTCTGTGCGTGGGGAGGTGCGAGGCGCCTGTGGCCCGCAGGCTGCGCAGGCATGTGCGCTGCGCGTGCTGGGGCTGGTCTGGGGCAGGCCCTGGCGGAGCCGTCCGGGCCCGCGGCCAGCCTGCTCCTGCCCTGCAGTTTCCTGGATGCCTGGGGGGCACGGACAGGCGCCTGGGACCTGAGCATTGATGGCCTGATTGTGTGTGTGTGTGTGTGTGTGTGTGTGTGTGTGTGTGTGTGTGTGTGTGTGTGTGTTGGCAGAAGCTGCTACAGATGGAAAGACCACCTCTCCCAAAGGGAAGAGACGCTACCTAGGCTCCAAGTTGAAACCCTCTGTGGCACCGCCGTTTGTGGATGTTTTATACTGCTTGTTAGTTTCTGGAATTGGGAAGCATCCTGTCTGGTTAGGGGTGGCCAGGTCAGGCAGGAACCCAAGCCTGGGCATGCTAGGCAGAAGGGTGGTGGGGATCCAGCATCAGGGGGAGACAGGCCCGGTGCCTTGGCGGAAAAGCCTGGGAGCCTTATGCTTGCTTTGTTGACTTTCTGGGTCCTGGTTTATACCCTTACCTCGTTGTAGGTATGGAATTTAGATAGGGGCGGTGAATGTGGACCTACCTTGGAGAACCAGGTCAAGAGCAGCCGGTATGGGTGGGCCTGCAGGCCTGCGAGTAAGGAGTGGGGCTATCAGGCAGTGGCCCAAGAGCTTTCCTGGGTGAGGACTTGCCGTTGGCCCGGCTACCAATAGCCATGGAGCAGGTCTGCCTAGTGCCTTGGTCCTGAAAGTGACCACGGGCCAGCAATGGCCAAGGTAGATTGGGTGGGCAGGGTTTCCCTCACTACTCTGCCATTGCTCTGAGCCCTGGACAACCCTTTCATCCAAGACCACCCAGCTTGTGCCTCCATCTTTATCTTTTCCTGGGCTCCTGCTCCATACATAGGGTACCCTCTGTTCCTCCGCCTGGTCAGGCATCCTTGACCCTGGGGGCTTGTGATGGGAAATGTGTCCCTGAAATGGGAAAGGCAGGGGCAGGCACAGGAGGGGCCCTGCCCCCCTCGCCCCCACGGCAGCACAGCAGGCATGTCTGAGCAGGGCCGACAGCCTGTCATCTGCACTTGGGCCCAAGCCAGCGTGGCTCCAAATCGCTACCTGAGGATGTGTTTTCTGCTCGAGTTGGCAGCAGTGGGTGTGGGGGCAGGGAGAGCCTGGAGGAATGTGGCGGGCCAACGCGTGTCCCTTGTGGCTCTTTGCCCCGCTGGCCAGCCGGTTGGTGTGGGACAGGATGGGACAGGCCGTTGCCTTCCTGGGAGCCTGGGTACCTGGTGTTGAAGGCATTTTAACTCCCTTCGCTCTGTTCCCAGCTGGTCCCCTCGGGTGCCCCGGGAGAGGGCAGGTTTCTAACGTGGATGGAGGGTTGGGGTTAGAGGGCTTCCTGTGCTTGGGGAACAGTTCTGGTCCCCCTCTCCACTCTTGCTCATGACCTGGCTGCCAGACGTGGAGCTGGTGCTGCGATGCCAGCTCCTTGGTATTTCCGCTCTTCGGCAACAGCCCTGGGGCCGCGCTGCCCGGTTTACCACAAGTGCAGCTCCTTCCCGTAAGCAATCCAGGTGCCCGCCCGAGCATTTGGCTCCGGGAGGCAGCAAGGACAGGCTGGGACGTGGGTTCCTTGGTGCCAGGAGGACCTCGTGGGAAGACGGGATGGCGTGGAAGGTGCATGAGAGCAGGGCCGGCCTCTCGCAAGTCCCGCTGCGTTCTGGGTGTGAGCCGTGTGGCTCTGTACCTGCGACGGAGCCTCTCTGGGTGGATTCTCGGCTGTGGAGAGACGCAGCAACCCCGTCAGTGTGTGCGTGTTGCCGACGGCCCCAGGAGACGGGTGTTTTCCCCAGGCTGGCTCCGGTGCCTGCCGTACCTATCGGCAGGGAGGCCATGCTCACCACACGTGCTTAAGCTCTGTGGGTTGAGCAGGTGGTGACAGAGGGCTCTGAGCGGGCCAGGACCTTTCCTCTGGGGTCTACTGAATGGCACTTTCAGGGTGGCCGAGTGAGGAGCATAGTGGGGCTATGCTTTGAAGGCCGCCAGAAGAGGAGCGGCCTCTGCTGCGGGCCCTCTGCTGACCAGCTTGCCGTTTGGGCCCAGGAGCGCGGCCATGTTCCAGTCTGTGTCCTTGGTGGCAGACCAGTGATGCATGCACTGTCGGGGCAGGAAGAGTGTGGGCTCCGCGGCCCATGTGGGGTCATGGGTGACAGTGAGGTAGGTCTGAGGCTGGCCTGGTTTACGTAGCTCAGAAGAGCTGAGATGGCAGCAGTTCCGTCGCCCGGTCCCCGCCCCCCCCCCAGACGGGAACAGTGCCTTTTTGACTGGGACTCGTAGAGCTGGATGAGGCTGTAGGATGCCCAGTCCATTTGCTTCTGAAGTCTCCAATGTGGCTCTGTCCTGCCCAAGCCCTCCCTCTCCCCCTGCTGGCTGTCCAGCACACGGCCCGATGTGTACTGGACGTGTAAGGGACGTGGCGTACTTGAGGGTGGCAAGGTGCAGCGGTCAGAGGAGGGCTGCCCCACTGGGATGGAAGGGTGGAGGTTGCTGGGACTAGTCAGGGTGCCGGGGCAGATCCGGTGGCGTGGGCACATCTGACCCGGGTGGGCTATTCTGAAACCTGTGCCTTGCGTGTGTATACACCAAAGGACCGCCCGCCCTCCCTGGCTCCTAGAGCTGGTACGTGCCCTGTCCTCTCCATCACGCCCATGCCAAGGCCCGTTGCCCTCCCACACCATCCCCGTGAAACCCAGGATCCTCCTCGTGTGGGGCTAGGGGTAGGTGGCACTTTGCCCTGCACCCGGCCTTGTCCCATATGGATTGTGGGGTCTTGTTCGAGGCTGTGTAGTGCACGCTGAAGCAGGGCTCTCAGCAGCCAGCAGTATGGGGCCCCAGGAGGCAGGAAGAGCTAACCTGGCCAGTGGAGGATTTAGGCATGGGAGTGTGTGCGGCCCACAGGAGCCGTTGGGAAACAGGCCTGCAGTGTGGTAGATGGAGGATGGACCCCGTGCGTCCGGGTTGGCAGCAAAGGCACTGCGGTTTTCAGGGGTCCTTGTGGTGGTATCTGGATGGAATGGGAAGCGAGGTCCTGGGGGAACCAGGTAAGGGCTTGAGCTGCAGGTAGTTGGCCACGAGGCTACAAGTGGCTTTAATTCCAAAACCCAGCAGGGATCCTTATTAGCAGACTGAAGGCCTGAACTAGCCCCTGCCCACACACCCTACCCTGAGCTGGGTATGGGCACATCATGCTGATCCTGGGCTAGCTGTGATCTCAGATGGCTGTGAGGAGTGTTCGCGGTCCCACGGACTTCACAGTGGCGCCTGGGCCCTCCAGCATCGTGTGAATAGACAGTTAGAGAAGGCCTTGGCTGGTGTCTGACATGGGGTGGCCTATTGGAGCTGAAGAGGGTTGCCCCTTCCCCCAGCCCCCTGGGGGACAATGGTGACAGAGGCCCAGGCCCCTCCTAAGCTCTGATTTCGGGGAATATGTCTGTACTCAGGGCCTTCGGCATTGGCAGCAAGCGTTGTGCTCTGTCAGGGGCCTGGTGTAGATGCTGGGGTAGAACCAGCCTTGTACCTGGCTCTGGGGTGTGGCCTACTGGCCCCAGGCTGCCTTTC